GAAAGATAAAATAGATAAAAATAAATTAAATGACACACATTGTGGATAATTATTTGCACTTAATCATACTTTATATTTTCTGAGTAACATGCACCTCTACTTGCCACATTTAAAGCAAAGTGTACAACAGTTGATTAGTGGACTTAAAGTATCTCCTTTAGTCCTTTAATTGGATCCTAATTATGACAGTTCCAGTGGAGCACTGTTTATTCATTGTACAGTTTTGGACTACTTAAGCATTAAGCCGGTCCGCTATTGTCTGCCAGGCTTTCTCTCTTTCTTTAATTTTAGCATTGGTATTGCCTTTTTTCTTATATCTTCCACCTCTTCATAGAACTCCATCAGGAGCTGTTGTTTAGTGGCCGTGAAATATGAAGCGCGACTCTTATCCATGTTCCCATCGGTGATTCTGTGGGCGATTGCGAGGTCTATTTCAGTATGCCGTGAACACGCACTTATCCCGACTATCTACACCTGGCTTAACATAGCCGCACTTTTTAATCCTGGCTCGGCAAACGTGCAACCAATTAAGCCAGGATGTGCCGAGCAGGCTAAGTCAAGCCGCGCTTGCTCACTTGTCCTGGATTTCTTTATCCTACTTTTGTGCAATACCCCACAGCTTGCAAAAGGTTGAGAACCCCTAACCCCCCCTCATATTTTGCGCGTAAATCTGCAATTTATGCGGCGAAAGTGCAGCGTATTTGAAAAAATGCGGCCCTCGCATAAATATGCGGACTTTGGCTGATTATGCATTGAACTATGCAATCGCATAATCGCCTTTTCTGGAGGGACTGGATGACAGCGCAAGCAATCTGACCGCACTTGTTCCAGATCATCCTGTATCCAACAGCCAGAAACCTATGAACAAAGCATGCCGCAGATGTGGGGCTCATGACGTCAGCAGGCCAAGTACTCATCCGACTCAAACCTAACATACTTTTACCATGAAAGAAACAATAGCCACTGACATTTCAAGAAATCACAGAAATTACAAGTACAATATCAGACCTGTTGGAAGCTATTGTGATGTGCTGCAATATCTCCATATTTTCCTGTGGAAAAGAGTACACTCGTCTGCCACAAGGCAACAATCAGTCGCCATCAATTTTTAATTGATTGCAGACAGATTTGTGAGAATTAGACAGAGTTAACTGTGTTACAGTACGTAGATGACATTTTGATATACTCAGTGACCCGCGAACCGCCATCTAACAACTGGAAATGACAGGTTACAGCTGCCCATGGCTATCTGACTACACTTTTGATCAAAAGCAATGTAAGACTTAATCAAAACCTCAGTGCTAAACAAAACTACACATTTGCAATGGAATGCATGGCAGGCATCTGCTCAACTTAAAGGTGATTTATCCAACTGCTCCTGCACTTACGAATCAAGATTATGCTTATTACAAAGCGTCAACCATTACTATGGGACATGAGGTATTTTTGTACACAAATCATGCACTACATGCGCTTCTTGCACCAAACTTTGTAAAAAAAACATATGCACAATGCACAGGGTACAACATCATCCTCTCAGCCCCGGAAATCACCATACTATGGTGTCAAGCATTCAAACCTCCTACATGATGGAACTCCATATGATTGTGTGGCAGTTTCGGAGGCGTATCTAAAGACCTGAAGGGATCTTTTAGCCGAATCACTGCCAGGAGCACAACTTTTATTGTTGGTGAAAGGGAACGCTGTTGTTGCACCAACAGCAGACATGTTAGAATTTGAAACATTGCTGTCGCAGACGCTGTATACTTCCCTTTTAGCACAAGCAGCAGAACTTAGGGCTTTAGCTTTTTTTTAACGGTTAAGGATGACGATAGCACCATTTCAATGCGTGCCCTGGCTGAGGTACAGTCGACTGCCTCTGCAGAGGAGAAACAACTCTGGTTGAGTTGGAGTTGTTAAAGACTGCTCCACTGGTCGGTTTTGGTCAGCCACAGGGTTGTTGGTGGCACATGCAGCTTTGGTACCACAGTTGTTTGTTGTTGCGCATGGTATTTACCATGTTGAAAGGGGGAAAGTAGTGAAAGTGTTACAAAACATGTGGTGGTCTCCATAGACGGTTGCTACAGTTAAAAAAATACATATACAATCATGTGAAATCTGCATAGAGCCTAACATCAGATAGCCTAAAAGCAAAGTAAAACCTTTACAAATAAAAAACAACGAAAACAACAACAAAGCCTGATACCATAACGGTAACAAAACTGTATAAAATTGGAAAATAGTTCTGATAACTAATTTTGACAATGCTGTAATAAGGAAGATATCAAACACTAAGAATCAAACATAAGCTGGGAAGTGTGTCCCATCCCCAATCACAAGGTCTAGTGGAAAGAGCTCATGGAGCGTTGAAAATCTGCAGGGAAACTAAGATGGACAGAGTGACTGCGTTGCCACTTGCACTAATGAGTATGAGAATGCCCACCTTACCCCGTATGAAATGCTAACAGGGCGACCTATGCCAGCGTCACATTTGAGAGGATCCCAAAGGGGCTGCCACTTGTATGTGAAATACAGGAGGCAGAAGAAGATGACACTAATGTAAAAATACTCATATGAAATATACAATGCTTTAAGTACATCATCTTGGCTCGGGAAGTAACAAAGGGGAGGAAAAATGTAATGCATTTATGTAACCAGTTCCTGGATCAGTTTCAGTGAAGTTGGAAGTGATTGAACAACCAGACTGTGTGACGTTACACTGTGTTGGAATAAATGAACTTAATGTTGTTCAATGACTAGTTGACGAGGAACACATTTATTACTTTATGGGTGGAGAAAATTCTCCTAATTCTAAACAAACTATTTAAAAACCCTCCTGGATGAGCAGGAAAATGCATCGTCACTGCTGTAGATTAAAGTAGCAACAGTATATAAAGTAGTTCAACATCTACATCCACATGAATGCAGCAGTAATATTGATCCATCAGATATAATAGTCCAACCTGTTCCTGCACTATCACTACTTTTCCTTTGAGTCCATTGTGCTGATCATCCTGTTACTGCAGTAAAGGCTGTGAATACTACTTCCAGCTCAGAGTGTGAACAGTGAGAGAAGAAGCAGTACAGTGAACCAACCTGCTCTGTGTAACCGAAGTTGAGGGTTGAAAACAGCGTCCAGTAGTTTCCGTTGTCGCTCGTTCTCCTCTTTTGAACGACAAAGTTCCTCCTCGTACTCTGCTATCGTTCTTTCAAACAGCCCAAATATCTCTTCAGCAGCCGCAGTTAGTCGCTGCTTCACCAACGCTCTCAGCATTTGGACTTTACACATTTTCACACAATCAGCTTTGTAGGCTACCGGGAGATGAGTCAGCGGTAAAACATTCCGAAAAACGGTGAACAGCACAAAGTCCATTCAGACAGCTTTATCCGGACATACGGAGGCTCGGATGGCTCATTACTGTGGATGTCACACAAACTTTCTCAGCACGACAACGGGACACGTTGTTACTGTGCTTCTTCTTCGTGGTGTTTAATGGCGGCTGGCAAACAACGTTATGGAGCATTAGCGCCACCAACTGTTATGGAGTGTGTATCGGGAATCTGACTATACATTCACTAATACTACTAATAAATAACAGAAGATGAGGACAAATAAAGTTATATTATTTCTATTAAGTTGAGATATTGAAGCGAATAGAGATAAAACACTTCTCCCCAGAACTTCTTTGTAGAAGATCTCATAAGTCAAAGCTCAGCTTTATTTCTTTCAGCTTCAGTATCAGTTCCCTTCCCTCAGCAACACATTTTGGACAGTAAACCAGAACATGTTGTAAAGTTTCTTCTTGATCACAAATTCACTCCTTCCTGTATTATGTGTTCCTATTTTAAATAATGTTTAATCCTGTATGACCTAATAGTAACCTTGATATTATTATTGTAATAAATGTATATTTGTGCCTAAGCCGCCCAATAGGCTACCAGAAACCGTGTGGGGAAATTGTAACAAAATTGGAAAACAATCTTCATTTCATTATTGTGATCAGGGTTTCTGGAGTCCAAGTGGACAGGAGAGCACAATACGATACACAAAAAATACACTGTACATACAACAGCAGCGTGCTGGAGGTGGCAGCCAAACAGGAAAGCGGTGGCAGCTTGCGCTCCTATAGCACCAGCAGTGGCTAAATGCAGGAGGCAGCAGACTCTTTGAAATGAAGTTAAAACACCTCTGAGGCTGTTATTATTTATCATATTTTGGTGAATCTGTAGATACAGGGAAGAGATCAATGCTGTACATACATAGCAGACGTCAGGGCTTTAGATACAGGGCATAGGTGTGTGCTGTAGATGCAGCTCTACACCACCATGTGGTCGTTATTAATTTTTTATGAATTGTTAGGAGTAGAAGAAACATTTTTATACAGTGGGTTCCTTGGTCAATACTAATTTTACTGATATAGGCCGAGCCCATCACACCTTTTTAGGCAGATATTTTATCCAATCTTCACCAAACTTGTAGCTTTGTGTTTTACTTATTGCATGTTGTACATAAACTCACATTGCACGTGTGTGTAACATTCATAAAATTCTACCTACAATAGTTCCACCTTTTGGCCATTAATATAACCTCACCATATCTCTTGAACACAGTATTCAATTACCACCGGTTTTGGGTTTTATCTTTAGACGTGAATCACAAACACTTTGTGCTGGGACTCTTTCAGAAACTGGGCCGGTGAACAGCTGTAACAGTGGCAACAGCAGATGCAGCAATAGCAAACATTTTCTTCAGGAAATGCAAATACTGTGTGTTGATGTTGATGTTCTGCCCTCTAGTGTCAGAAACCAGCAACTACAGTCTGTGTTGATTTACTGTGAGGAACGATCAGATTAACATTTACAGACTGCCACAGTTTCAGTTCCTTATATAACTCTCAGTGTTATAAACGTATACAAACATCTATGATAGATCAGATTTTATGTAGGAACGCAGAATGTTTAATGCCGTTTGAAGCAACAATATAGAAACAAAACAAAGGTCCTTTTATGAAAATAAAGTTTATTGATGGCAACCTGAAACTTTAAGATACATGGACCCATAAACTGACATTAATGATTATGTTTTATAATGTTTCCTGTTAGTCACAATGTAGATTCAACACATTCAAACACCACACAGGGTGATCGATAAAACAAAGACAAAATAAAGTACAATAAATACAACGATGATCATTCTACTGATTAAACAGACAAAGAATAAAAAATATTCACCAAAAACAAAAAAAGAACTTCTGCACATTGTGGTAATTAAAACTATTTAAAGGGTCATCAAACTTTGGAGGAGCAATCAATTAATTCTGGCTATCAAAATGATCAAAGAAAATTAAAAATAACAGTAATCAATATCCGTATACGTATTATATCAGAAGGTCCTCAGGACACCACCCTTAAAAGGAAAACTATTAACTGAATGATACTCAGTCTCATAGAATATACAAAACAATTAATCTGAAGCACTAATTTATTTATTCAAAAACTATAACTAAGTTCATCATGTTCACATTAGGTCAGCTGAAGGATTTGTAGCTCAACATAGAGTTTGGTATCCTTCACATTTGTGGAATATTTAATAAACCAACATGTATATTTGATAGCATTTATTAAAAATATAAAGTATAAATAGACAATATGATCAAACTACAATGCACTAAACTAAATAAAAAAAACAGAGTGTGTGTTGCACTGTATGTTGAGCTTGTTCAGCAGAGACAAAGCAGAGTTTTAAAGGTCCTCTCTGCTGTGTGTGGTTGTGTTAAAGGCCGAGGTGATCTTATATGAAAAGTGGCAAGTTAAAAAGAGTTTGTTGTACAAAGACTGTTTCTGTGTGGAACATAACATTTAACTAAGATCACCATAGCAGTGTAGAACATGAGTAACACAGTAACCTAACATAAACCATAACAAAATCACAACAATAAAACCAGATCAATACATTACATTTACAAAAGTTAAGCAGTCTCGTGCTTAGTCATGAACACAGTTAAACTGTGCGCAGCTATTTATGCCCACTATGTTCAGTGGTGTAGTGGTTCCTGGAGAAATGGGTAAACTCTTGCTAAGTTGTTAGCCAGTGATCCCGTAAGCCAGGCAGGGGAAAGTTGTTTTCCATTGTCACATTGTTATCACTCACTCTGATTCAGAATAGTTACAGACCTAGCCGCCAGACACTGTTGTTCTAATGTCATGGTGCATCTCTGATGTCTAGTTTCTAGTCTGTAACAGCTGAACAGGATTCTTAATTTCCTGCTGCTCTCATGTGTCTCTGCATAGTACTTTTAATACAGAAGCTTTAACTGCAGACTGAGCTGGATGTGTGAGTTGTCATGTGCTCCTCGAGAGTACTCTTTTTAACGAAGTTTTGTTGGCATACTGAGCAGCTGAATGGTTTCTTACCTGTATGAGTCTTCATGTGCCTCTGCAGATGACTCTTTTGTCCAAACCTTTTATCGCACACTGAGCAGCTGTACTGTATCCCACCAATATGACTTTGCATGTGCATCTGCAGATGACTCTTTTGACGGAAGCTTTTATGACACACTGAGCAGTTGAAAGGTTTCTCACCAGTGTGAGTTCTCATGTGATCCTGCAGACCATGCTTATATCCAAAGCTTTTATCGCACACTGAGCAGCTGAATGGTTTCTCACCTGTGTGAGTTCTCATGTGTAACTGCAGAGTATGCTTTAGACGGAAGCTTTTATGACACACTGAGCAGCTGAATGGTTTCTCACCTGTGTGAGTTGTCATGTGATGCTTAAGAATACCCTTTAGACTGAAGCTTTTATCACACGCTGAGCAGCTGAATGGTTTCTCACCTGTGTGAGTTCTCAGGTGTCTACGTAAACCTCGTCTCCATGAAAAACATTTCTTACAAACTGAACAGCTGAAAGGCTTTATATTGGGGACATCACCTGACTGAGGTTCCCTGGTGTCTTTAAAATCATTGTCACTATCATCAGTCTCAGATTCAGAAGAGTCTTCAGTCTTACCATCCGTATCAGGTTGTGAATGTTCATCTGAGTTTCTGGCCGGTTCTGGTCCTCCACAGTCCTCTCCATCATCTGTTTCCATCTGTTCAGTTTGTCTTTGAGGAAGCTTTGAGGACTGAGGTTTCTCTTCATCATCATCTTCACTCTTCACAGGGACAGGAGTGAATGTAAACCCTTGAAGCTGCTCTCCCTCCTGACTGGTCCTGACTTCCACCTGTTCCTCTTTAACGTGTGGGGGCTCTGGGTCCTCCTGTTCCAGACTGGGTCTCCACTCCTGCTGCTGCTCAGGGGGAACCTCTTCTTTAATCACCGACAGCTGCTGGACATCTGCAGGACACAGTAAACACAAAGATGGACATTATGGAAAACCACCACTTTCTGTTGAATCCAGACTGGATAACTGTGGGATCATCATCAGGCTGAAGATGTCACTCAGTGGAAACACATTGGAACCAAGTTGAAATCTGTTGACAAGGTCTCACGAGGATTATCAGCAGAAGACTTCATGGAAAGTAAGCAATGATTAAAAGGATCAGAGTCTCTTCTGAACAAGGCAGAAGATTCTTTAACCTTTAATGGTGCGGTCCGCTGCCACAGCAAGGGAAAGTTGGAGAACAGTAAAGGGTCAACATGCCGGTCGAAAGGATTCTGCCAGATTTGTTCCCGCTTACCAATGTGGGAGTGGACTACTTCGGCCAAATAAATGGAAACATCACCCAAAGATTCTTCATTGGTTCACTACGCATAAAAAACAATATTTTTCAATTTTCACTATGTTGGAACATTTTAATTGAATGGGTAGTTACAATAATACTAGTTAGTAGATACAGTCAATGGAATTTCAGAGTTATTAATTTACTTTAAAGCCAAGAACCTAAATTAAATCTAAAGTACTATTATTTGTTATTTCAAAGTCCAACATATTTAAATATCTGCAGTCATAATGTCGGGTAAACAGAGATGTCAGTGCTACATCCGCAGTTTTGGAGACTTGAATTTTTCAACAAACTGGTCAAAACGCTTTTTGTCCCAATGATGTTGCAACATGATTCCACAATCAGGTTAATATTGTAGTGATGGAAGTTTCTGTAAGCGTCTATAAGTACCGCGGATGGGTTTACATTAGAGTCAATAGAAATCCTGGTGCGTCCCATAGAGTCGCTGATGGGTACCATATGCGGCTGTATGGGATGTCAAAAGGAAAGAGACAAAGCGTCAGTCTTCGACGAATTGGGAATGAGGTATGCTTGTTTCTGTGAAGCAACAAATTGTAGCACTGTGCCCAAGAAAAGTTTCCCCTCGGGGACAATAAAGTTATTTCTGTTCTATTCTATTATGATTTCTATTAATAGTAATTAGGGATCGACCGATATGGATTTTTTATGGCCGATGCCGATGCCGATTTTTTTTCATCAACCTTAGCCGATGACCGATACGGACTGCCGATTTTCTTGAGCCGATATTTGGAGCCGATACTACTTTTGCTCCCTCAATTTACATCATAAAAATTACACAATGATGATAACAAATGTTACGAGTCTCAATTATAAAAAAAGGAACATTTATTGAAATTAAAAAAGGTGAGTCAGAACAAGAACAAGTAAACAATATTTAATAAATATTAAAAACAGGTGAGGTAGAACAAGTTAAAAAAGAGTTTACCATTTGGACCCACAAACTTGCTAAGCTATAGTTTCAGGCAAAACACATACAGAGCATGCATTTGGCATTTGTGTTTCCACTTTCAAAGTGTATGGCAATATTTCAGCTAAGTTAAACAGTTAAAAGATGCTTTGAAAGTTTAAAACTTAGAGTTGTGTTGAAGAGCATGCTTCCAGCACTCTCCTAGTGGGGGGAGGGGCTATGCATGCATAATGCTGGATCGGCGAACGCAGCAGCCCGTATCGGCCGATGCCGATACACGTAAAAACCGCAAAAATCTGCCGATAATATCGGCCGGCCGATGTATTGGTCGATCACTAAATGTGAGTCACCAATTTTTCCATTTCTATTACTACTTTAACCTCCCCTCAGGGTACATTTTATTTTTAGTGACATTGAAACAAGAATATTACAAAGGTGTAGGCGACTGTACTGACTGAATACATATTGAACAATTAAATAGGCTAGAGACTGAAGCTTCGTGAGCGAAGGTTCCACAGATTATTATTTTGTTTCAAGTGAATCAAAAGATAAAATAGTTATTATTAATAATAACTATTATCAATCACAGCACACAGCTCGGATTGTGAATGTGCATCATTGTTTCATGTTATGAATATATCCAAGATGAGTCATCTAAGGTGGCGCCACATGCGGTCGCCTCTGTTTTTCTTGTTTTGTTTGTTAACTCAGTTTTTCAGCTGTGATACCCGGAGCTCTTTCACTAGAGAAGAGCTCATGAATATCAGGGGAACAACTCAAGCTGATCTGTGAAACTTCACCATCAGTTCTCAGCCAACGACTCTGGTTCTGTCTGGAAGAGGCTCAGACAGATAACCAACTACAAACATAACCCCCCCAAAAGGAGACAAAAGGAGCAGTCCTGAGACCCCTCACCAGTTCCCCCCCCCCCCAGCTCAGCAGGAGCCGGGGCCACTTCACAACTCCACATCTCTGTGAATCCCTCCGCCACCACCACAGTGACGACTCTCTGCCTCCAACAGATATTTATATATATAATTATATGTTAAAGTTTAAATAATCATACCTATAAGAAATCACATCTCTCGTATCGACTTGCCTTATCTGGACATAATGCACATTATTATATAACGTCCATATGTGCAATAGATAGTCGAATAGATCAATTATATGTGGGTTTATTGGAAAGCATAATCAATCACTTTTGTCCAACTCTGACAGCCGTACTGCCTCCACACTCACACAGTGACGCACAGCATCAGGAGCAGTTCACACTTCATCTATGTGAAGAATGATAATATGAAATTTGATTGTAGCTTACAGTCAAATGCTCAGTTTGATGATGAAATGTATTTGTTGTTTATTTCTGACTTTTAGAGCTCGGTGGTTCTCACAGGACAAACATATGATGATCTTATAGAATCTGACACGTTGCTGTAGATTAAATAAAGTAGTTCAACATCTACATCCACATGAATGCAGCAGTAATATTGATCCATCAGATATAATAGTCCAACCTGTTCCTGCACTATCACTACTTTTCCTTTGAGTCCATTGTGCTGATCATCCTGTTACTGCAGTAAAGGCTGTGAATACTACTTCCAGCTCAGAGTGTGAACAGTGAGAGAAGAAGCAGTACAGTGAACCAACCTGCTCTGTGTAACCGAAGTTGAGGGTTGAAAACAGCGTCCAGTAGTTTCCGTTGTCGCTCGTTCTCCTCTTTTGAACGACAAAGTTCCTCCTCGTACTCTGCTATCGTTCTTTCAAACAGCCCAAATATCTCTTCAGCAGCCGCAGTTAGTCGCTGCTTCACCAACGCTCTCAGCATTTGGACTTTACACATTTTCACACAATCACACAAACTCCGTCAAAAACACTGTTTCCACTATGTAAAATTGGCTTCAAAGACCGGTGTACTTTGTTGGCTCGTTACTGTGGATGTCACACACACTTTCTCAGCACGACAACACTGTGCTTCTTCTTCGTGGTGTTTAATGGCGGCTGGCAAACAACGTTATGGAGCATTAGCGCCACCAACTGTTATGGAGTGTGTATCGGGAATCTGACTATACATTCACTAATACTACTAATAAATAACAGAAGATGAGGACAAATAAAGTTATATTATTTCTATTAAGTTGAGATATTGAAGCGAATAGAGATAAAACACTTCTCCCCAGAACTTCTTTGTAAAAGATCTCATAAGTCAAAGCTCAGCTTTATTTCTTTCAGCTTCAGTATCAGTTCCCTTCCCTCAGCAACACATTTTGGACGGTAAACCAGAACATGTTGTAAAGTTTCTTCTTGATCACAAATTCACTCCTTCCTGTATTATGTGTTCCTATTTTAAATAATGTTTAATCCTGTATGACCTAATAGTAACCTTGATATTATTATTGTAATAAATGTATATTTGTGCCTAAGCCGCCCAATAGGCTACCAGAAACCGTGTGGGGAAATTGTAACAAAATTGGAAAACAATCTTCATTTCATTATTGTGATCAGGGTTTCTGGAGTCCAAGTGGACAGGAGAGCACAATACGATACTCAAAAAATACACTGTACATACAATTAAAATGTGTATTAAACCTACCCAGGGTCTAGGCAGGAAACGCCAACAGCAGCGTGCTGGAGGTGGCAGCCAAACTGGAAAGCGGGGGCAGCTTGCTCTCCTATTGCACCAGCAGTGGCTAAATGCAGGAGGCAGCAGACTCTTTGAAATGAAGTTAAAACACCTCTAGTATGGAGGACTAAAATTTCCACATTAAATTAATAATTACAACATTAAATAATTACTTATTGTCATTCATTAATTAAAATTGGAATTAAATACATAAATGTGTTATTAAATATGTAATTAATTCAAATCCTGATTAATTTGATGTAAAATACATATATAATTATTTCACTATTTACATTTACATTTCATGGTCCTGTGTTGCAGTGCTTCATGAATCACTTAAAACTGTCAAACTCACCCATCAAAAGTTGGTAACGCCTGATTGGATACCCTGCGAATCAAACCAAGACAAATCAATTCCAGATAATGGATCGATGCAGAGCTAGTGAACACATTCCAATACACTGGGTGGGGCTATTGGACTACTTCTAATAAATCTGCAGTCACTCTGTGGTCAATATCTTGGTCAGAAAGTAACTCCAAGAACTTCAATAAGTTCCTCTGCTTTACTCACTACATGCTCTGGGTCAGCAGCTCCTGCTTCCACATCCTCTGCTAAGTCTAAAAAATAAAATAAAGTGTTTAACTAAAAAATAAAGTGTAGCAGCAGCTTGAGTTTCCCTTTTTCTTTGTTAACTGTTTCATATCTTGATTAACAGTCTCAACAAATTTTATAAATGAATATCAACACATCTTTACAATTGAAGAGTTTCTCTTTCTTTCCCTTTTATATCTTTCTATACACTTTCTGTTGTTCAGTGAGAGAATTGAGCTCTAACCTCTCTCCCTTGTTGGGCAGTGAATGAATGGGTCAGGATCAGTGTTGGTCATCTTACTTTAAAAAAGTAATTAGTTATAGTTACAAATTACTTATCCCAAAAAGTACATTGTTACAAATTACCTATCCCAAAAAGTACATTGTTACAAATTACTTATCCCAAAAAGTACATTGTAAAAGTAATTAGTTACTCAGCAAAGTAACTGTGAAGTTATTTTTTATGGTCTATAATTACATTCTATAACATCTTCTATAACGTTAAAGATGTTTATAATCACTGAATAAAGAATAAAAACACTATATACAGTATTTTAGAACATTTGGTATTTATTTGAACTCAATAGATTGCAGCCGGCCTTATGCATAGAAATAAAAATATATACAAAATAAATATTGAAAATAAAATTCACACGTTACATAAACATTCTTGCCTTTAACTTCAGTAAGCGAGTAGTAGTGTCGGTACTTCCAGTTTGATATCGCTACCTTTGAATTTCCCTAGCTCGTCGCCATTGTCTCTGTCTTGGCATCCGCCCACCCAGCCAATCATCATCACCACGCTGCCCTCTGCTGGCAGCTGATGTGTGGCTGTCAGAAAGCCTGACACCGCTGCGCTTCATTCAACCACATTGTAGGAACGCAAGTAACACGCCACTTTACATTCTCAGTAACGGTAACGGCGTTGCAACGATGGGAAAAGTAATTAATTAGATTACTCCGTTACTGAAAAAATAACGCTGTAAGTAACGCCGTTATACTTAAACGCCGTTACTCACAACACTGGTCAGGATACTGGTTGAGTGATCATATTGGGATCTGAGCCTGCTTATTTTCTGTGACCTTGTTCAGACTTGAGTGGGTATGTTTGATGAAAACTTTGTGTTTTGTCTCATAGTGGCGTTTCACACTGGCACTTTTAATCAGCGGCGCGGTCTCTGAACATGAGACACACTGGTTACGTGCTCCCAGTGGGAAGAATGAATGTGAATGAATCTGTCCATTAAAAGCTCGATTTTATATCCACTTTTCTCTTCTTAGAGAGCGCCACAAATCTTCTGTTGTCTCTCGCTCACTCATCTCTCCGTTTCCTCTCCATGTATCTGTGATTTCTCTTACCGTCTGTCCCCCTCTCTCATCGCTCTCATCTCTGTATTCAGTCGCGCTGTTTAAACAGATTTGATTGGCTGAGCAGCATCACGTGGGATGGCTTAACTAGCATGCGACTGGTCTGTGAGCTTCCTGATCTGCTAAACAAATATCGTAAAGACTAAAAAAGCTGTGCTGGTTAAAATAGAAGCTCCCCATCAAAATTTAGAATCCTCAATAATGAATTAATTATAGGTCTGGGTCCGCATAGGACGGTGTCTGGGTCCAGACTCGCCTGTTAGCGACCTCTGCCCTAGAAAGTTCATGAAGATCTTCCTGGCACTCTACTTCAGACCAAAGCAATGGATCAGGCTAGATTCGCGTTGGCCCCACCCACTGAGTTTGATGGGTGAGTTTGACAGATTTAAGTAAATCATGAAGCACTGCAACGCAGGACCATGAAATGTAAATGTAAATAGTGAAATAATTATATATGTATTTTACATTAAATGAATCGGTATTTGAATTAATTAATGACACATTTAATATCACATTTATGTATTTAATTCCAATTTTAATTAATGAATGACACATTTAAGTAATTATTTAATGGTGTATTTATTTATTTAATTGTGGCACTTTCAGTCCTCCATACTCTGAGACTGTTATTATTTATTTTAATACATATTTTGGTAAATGCTGTAGATACAGGGAAGAGATCAATGCTGTACATACATAGCAGAGGTCAGTGCTTTAGATACAGGGCATAGTTGTGTGCTGTAGATGCAGCTCTCCACCACCATGTGGTCGTTATTAATTTTTTATGAATTGTTAGGAGTAGAAGAAACATTTTTATACAGTGGGTTCCTGGGTTGATGCTAATTTTACTGATATAGGCCACGCCCATTCACGCCTTTTTAGGCAGATATTTTATCCAATCTTCACCAGACTTGTAGCTTTGTGTTTTACTTATTGCATGTTGTACATAAACTCACATTGCACGTGTGTGTAACATTCATAAAATTCTACCTACAATAGTTCCACATTTTGGCCATTAATATAACCTCACCATATCTCTTGAACACAGTATTCAATTACCACAGGTTTTGGGTTTTATCTTTAGACGTGAATCACAAACACTTTGTGCTGGGACTCTTTCAGAAACTGGGCCGGTGAACAGCTGTAACAGTGGAAACAGCAGATGCAGCTATAGCAAACATTTTCTTCAGAAAATGCAAATACTGTGTGTTGATGTTGATGTTCTGCCCTCTAGTGTCAGAAACCAGCAACTACAGTCTGTGTTGACTTACTGTGAGGAAAGATCAGATTAACATTTACAGACTGCCACAGTTTCAGTTTCTTATATAACTCTCAGTGTTAGAAACGTATACAAACATCTATGATAGATCAGATTTTATGTAGAAACGCAGAATGTTTAATGCTGTTTGAAGCAACAATATAGAAACAAAACAAAGGTCCTTTTATGAAAATAAAGTTTACTGATTGCAACCTGAAACTTTAAGATACATGGACCCATAAACTGAAATTAATGATTATGTTTTATAATGTTTCCTGTTAGTAACAATGTAGATTCCACACATTCAAACACCACACAGGGTGATCGATAAAACAAAGACAAAATAAAGTACAGAAAATACAACAATGATCATTCTACTGATTAAACAGACAAAGAATTTAAAATTTTCACCAAAAACAAAAAAAGAAGTTCTGCACATTGTGGTAATTAAAACTATTTAAAGGGTCATCAAACTTTGGAGGAGCAATCAATTAATTCTGGCTATCAAAATGATCAAAGAAAATAAAAAATAACAGTAATCAATATCCTTATACGTATTATATTAGAAGTTCCTCAGGACACCACCCTTAAAGGAAAACCATTAACTGAATGATACTCAGTCTCATAGAATATACAAAACAATTAATCTGAAGCACTAATTTATTTATTCAAAAACTATAACTAAGTTCATCATGTTCACATTAAGTCAGCTGAAGGATTTGTAGCTCAACATAGAGTTTGGTATCCTTCACATTTGGGGAATATTTAATAAACCAGCATGTATATTTGATAGCATTTATTAAAAATATAAAGTATAAACACAATATGATCAAACTACAATGCACTAAACTAAATAAAAAAACAGAGTGTGTGTTGCACATTATGTTGAGCTTGTTCAGCAGAGACAAAGCAAAGTTTTAAAGGTTCTCTCTGCTGTGTGTGGTTGTGTTAAAGGCCGAGGTGATCTTATATGAACAGTGGCAAGTTAAAAACAGTTTGTTGTACAAAGACTGTTTCTGTGTGGAAAATAATATTTAACTAAGATCACCATAGCAGTGTAGAACATGAGTAACACAGTAGCCTAACATAAACCATAACAAAATCACAACAATAAAACTAGATCAATACATTACAATTACAAAAGTTAAGCAGTCCCGTGCTTAGTCATGAACACAGTTAAACTGCGCAGCTATTTATGCCCACTATGTTCAGTGGTGTAGTGGTTCCTGGAGAAATTGGTAAACTCTTGCTAAGTTGTTAGCCAGTGATCCTGTACGCCAGGCAGGGGAAAGTTGTTTTCCATTGTCACATTGTTATCACTCACTCTGATTCAGAATAGTTACAGACCTAGCCGCCAGACACTGTTGTTCTGATGTCATGGTGCATCTCTGATGTCTAGTTTCTAGTCTGTAATAGCTGAACAGGATTCTTAATTTCCTGCTGCTCTCTTGTGAGTTCTCATGTGTCTCTGCATAGTACTTTTAATACAGAAGCTTTAACTGCAGACTGAGCTGGATGTGTGAGTTGTCATGTGGTCCTCTAGAGAACTCTTTTTAATGAAACTTTGTTGGCACACTGAGCAGCTGAAAGGTTTCTCACCAGTGTGACTTCTCATATGTGTCTGCAGAGCACTCTTATGACTGAAACTTTTATCGCACACTGAGCAGCTGAAAGGTTTCTCACCAGTATGAGTTATCATGTGATTCTGCAGATTACCCTTTATAATGAAGCTTTTACTACACACTGAGCACCTGAATGGTTTCACACCTGTATGAGTCCTGATGTGATACTGCAGATTACTCTTTTGTGCAAAGCTTTTATCGCACACTGAGCAGCTGAATGGTTTCTCACCTGTGTGAGTTCTCATGTGTAACTGCAGAGAACTCTTTTGACTGAAGCTTTTACTACACACTGAGCACCTGAATGGTTTCACACCAGTATGAGTTCTCATATGTGTCTGCAGATAACTCTTTTGACTGAAGCCTTTACTACACACTGAGCACCTGAATGGTTTCACACCTGTATGAGTCCTGATGTGATACTGCAGATTACTCTTTTGTGCAAAGCTTTTATCGCACACTGAGCAGCTGAATGGTTTCTCACCAGTGTGACTTCTCATATGTGTCTGCAAAGCACTCTTTTGACTGAAGCTTTTATCACACACTGAGCAGCTGCAAGGTTTCTCACCAGTGTGACTTCTCATATGTTTCTGCAGAGCAGTCTTTTGACTGAAGCTTTTATCACACACTGAGCAGCTGAAAGGTTTCTCACCAGTGTGACTTCTCATATGTGTCTGCAGAGTACTCTTATGACTGAAACTTTTATCGCACACTGAGCAGCTGAAAGGTTTCTCACCAGTATGAGTTATCATGTGATTCTGCAGATTACCCTTTATAATGAAGCTTTTACTACACACTGAGCACCTGAATGGTTTCACACCTGTATGAGTCCTGATGTGATACTGCAGATTACTCTTTTGTGCAAAGCTTTTATCGCACACTGAGCAGCTGAATGGTTTCTCACCTGTGTGAGTTCTCATGTGTAACTGCAGATAACTCTTTTGACTGAAGCTTTTACTACACACTGAGCACCTGAATGGTTTCACACCTGTATGAGTTCTCATGTGTAACTGCAGAGAACTCTTTTGACTGAAGCTTTTACTACACACTGAACACCTCAATGGTTTCACACCTGTATGAGTCGTGATGTGATACTGCAGATGACTCTTTCGTCCAAAGCTTTTATCGCACACTGAGCAGCTGAATGGTTTCTCACCTGTGTGAGTTCTCATGTGTAACTGCAGAGAACTCTTTTGACTGAAGCTTTTACTACACACTGAGCACCTGAATGGTTTCACGCCTGTATGAGTCGTGATGTGATACTGCAGATGACTCTTTCGTCCAAAGCTTTTATCGCACACTGAGCAGCTAAACGGTTTCTCTCCTGTGTGAGTTCTCAGGTGTCTACGTAAACTTTGTCTCCTTGAAAAACATTTCTTACAAACTGAACAGCTCAAAGGCTTTATATTGGTAACATCACCTGACTGAGGTTCCCTGGTGTCTTTAAAAACATTGTCGCTATCATCAGTCTCAGATTCAGAAGAGTCTTCAGTCTTATCATCCGTATCAGGTTGTGAATGTTCATCTGGATCTGAGTTTCTGGCTGGTTCCGGTGCTCCACGGTCCTCTCCATCATCTGTTTCCATCTGTTCAGTTTGTCTTTGAGGAAGCTGTGAGGACTGAGGTTTCTCTTCATCATCATCATCTTCACTCTTCACAGGGACAAGAGTGAATGTGAACCCTTGAAGCTGCTCTCCCTCCTGACTGGTCCTGACGTCCTCCTGTTCCTCTTTAATGTGTGGGGGCTCTGGGTCCTCCTGGTCCAGACTGGGTCTCCACTCCTCCTGCTGCTCAGGGGGAATCTCTTCTTTAATAACCGACAGCTGCTGGACATCTGTAGGACAAAGTAAACACAAAGATAGACATTATGGAAAATCAGGCTGAAGATGTCACTCAGTGGAAACACATTGGAACCAAGTTGAAGTCTGTTGACAAGGTCTCACAAGGATTATCAGCAGAAGACTTCCTGGAAAGTAAGCAATGATTAAAAGGATCAGAGTGTCTTCTGAACAAGGCAGAAGATTCTTTAACTTTTAACGGTGCGGTCCGCTGCCACAGCAAGGGAAAGTTGGAGAACAGTAAAGTTTCAACATGCCGGTCGACAGGATTCTGCCAGATTTTCACTATGTTGGAACATTTTAATTGAATAGGTAGTCACAATAATACTAGTTAGTAGATACAGTGAATGGAATATCAGAGTTATTAATTTACTTTAAAGCCAAGATCCTAAATTAAATCTAAAGTACTATTATTTGTTATTTCTAAGTCCAATATATTTAAATATCTGCAGTCATAATGTCGGGTAAACAGAGATGTCAGTGCTACATCCGCAGTTATGGAGGCTTGGATTTTTCAACAAACTGGTCAAAATGCTTTTTTGTCCCAATGATGTTTCAACTTGATTCCACGATCAGGTTAATATTGTAGTGATGGAAGTTTCTGTAAGCGTCTATAAGTACCGCGGATGGGTTTACATTAGAGTCAATAGAAATCCCGGTTGGTCCCATACAGCCGGTGATGGGTACCATATGCGGCTGTATGGGACGTCAAAAGGAAAGAGACAAAGCGTCAGTCTTCAATGAATTGGGAATGAGGTATGCTTGTTTCTGTGAAGCAACAAATTGTAGCACTGTGCCCAAGAAAAGTTTCCCCTCGCGGACAATAAAGTTATTTCTGTTCTATTCTATTATGATTTCTATTAATAGTAATGAGGGATCGACCGATATGGATTTTTTAGGGCCGATGCCGATACCGATTTTTGTTCCCATCAGCCTTAGCCGATGACCGATACGAACTGCCGATTTTCTTGAGCCGATACTACTTTTGCTCCCTCAATTTACATCATAAAAATAACACAATGATGATAACAAATGTTACGAGTCTCAATTTAAAAAAAAAGGAACATTTATTGAAATTACAAAAGGTGAGGTAGAACAAGAACAAGTAAACAATATTTAATAAATATTAAAACAGGTGAGGTAGATACATAAAATAAAATTAGCATGTCTTAGGCTACTATGCCACCTAATATGCAAAGACAACACACTAGTAGGTCTAAACGAAAATGTAAAAGAAGCTGCAAGAATGGCAACCCCAGAACATAAATTAGCAGAGGAAAATAACGTGATGTCAGATGTGCATTGTAGGGGTTACACTACTATTTAATAAGAAAGGTAATTAATCACTGAAGATTAATAATACACTCGTAAATGGGGCACCACCTACGTTGTTAAGCTACTGGAATAATCCGGAGGAAATTATTCCACAGATCTAATTAAATTAATTTCAAATCAATTTATTAAATTTAAAAATCTACATTCAATCTCATATTTCTGAAGTAGTGATTTCTTTTACACGATTCATCGATTTCCCCGCATCAATTCAAACCTACACCGAGACAAGGATATACGGTTATATATGTTTATTAACTAAACTAATGAAGAGTAAATAGTATGAAATGATAATGCAAACAAATGACAACAAGTAACAGAATATGTGGACAATATATGAATTATTACTATTAGGTGATTCAGGAGCGATGGTGGATTTTGCGATGAAGCAGTAAGTTTAAAATATTACGAGAGTAAATTTTAGAACTACGAGGCCCTAATCGAAAATTCTCTTAAACTTAAAAGATGGGATTTAAAGATTACAGACAGACACCAGCTCTTTCTTATGTGTGTGAATCCGGCCGTGTACCGGAGAGTCAGCCTACTTTGTTTGTAGATGGAACTTGGAAGGATTCCAGGTCCTTGGCTTTCAGCTCAACTGCGGCTTTGCGTCACTGATCCAACAGGCCGAAGGGAGTTGTAGTCCCTGGTTCCAGTGGCAATCTCTCCAAAAGGCCCAGCGCGGCGTGTGCGCTAGTGAGCGTTGGGGGCAAGGTGGCTGGAGAATAATGTCTTTGTCCGGCTGGAAACGTTTATGCGTCTTCTTGAGCAGTCAACTACTGCGACGTCCTTCTGGCTGATGATACAGGTCTTAGAGTCTTCAGCTCTGATTGTAAACTAATTCAGCTTCTTGTTTGAAAATAACTGGAGGATGAAACGCTGGCCTGGCGAATTCTCCGTCGTCACTAAGTCCAAGAATTAGATTAATACTTGACGATAAGACTACAAAAATATAAAAGAAGGAATTTGTTTGTGTCTTGAGCTTTAAAAATAAAAGTACTTGAAAAGTACTTTAGCACAGCAAGTTATTACTTGAGGAAAAATTCAGCATGTGTTGCAAACAAAGTAAAGTACGGAAATTAAATTAAGAACGAGAGTAAATGACGAGTGGATCTTAGAAAGAAGAAAAGAAGAGAGCGGAGTTTAGAAGAGATCAGAAGAGGAGTAAAAGAAGAGAGTGACCGGAGTCTGTTCCTTATATATTTTAATCTGACGGCGTATCCGGAAAGGCTAATCGCGTCACTTCCTTTAGCGATATTTTGATATTCGTAACTTTATCAATTATTCCTATCGTCTCTAAAAGTTTCGAAATCATAATTCACCATTCACAGAACCCACCATGACTTAATACATAGTTCACATGTTTTAACATAACATAACCGAAATTACTTAATGTAAAGGAAAAGTAGAACTGATTAAAATCATTAAATCATAATCATTAAACACGCATATAAAGTAGCACTGAGGGATTGTACATATTTCGTATAGTGCTAGCTTAATCCTTGTTATAAATATTATGTATCAGGCATTTACTATTTTGAATAATACAAAATTATAAAACCGTTTACCGTTACCTTACGCTATACCAGAATCTTACCAAAAGGTGTCGCTGTGGCTCCATCAAACATTCAGACATTTTACACATGATTTTGTAACTTAGTCCAACCTGAAGACAGAAGCATCAGACAAACATTACATTTGCGACATTCTCATGCTGGATGGCAATCTGTTAATTAGGAGAATATGAAATTTTACAATAGTATTAAATTAGAACTAAATCTATATCAGTCCAAATGCTGTTTCTGCTATCAGTATTGGAATGTCAGGGTTAGTACATGGACCTCTCATAAATCACCTTGAAGGAAAGGGGGAAAGGAGTAACAGGAGACCAGATGTGGATTTCAGAGGAGTTTCTCTCTGGACGTGAACCCGTCAGACTAAAAGAGATGTAAACACATTTCAGGGCTATCTAACCCTGATTTACAATCAAAAAGGCACTTAATTATTAACCCATCTGTTGTAGAACAACAAGTGTTTCCCAAAACCTGAGTGTAGAGTGTCGTTCTGATCTATGGAGGAGTCAGTGTTCTGTTAAAGAGGATGAAACAAATTGACACCTAGAGATCCCATCTGTGAATCTGAAAAGAACCAGGCTCTCTGTGCAGGAGACTGTCGGCGCCACAGTCTCACCTCCCCTCCTGGGTCAAAAAGGTCAAAGGGAAAGAAGGCCTTGAAAACTCTCCTGGTGGAACATAATCAAACTAATATGATGATTGTTGAATTAAGAGACGGATAAAGCGTCTCTTGTAGAGGAAGACGAGGACAAGGTCCTACAACATTAAGCAACAAACTGTTCCAAGTTTCTGTTCTAAATTAAATCAACGTTAACAGGAATAAATATTCAATCAAGTATAAAGCTGTTTCTCAAAGTTTTAAAAGCTCTCCTTCAGTCGGCGCAGCACTCTCATATATCACTGTGATGCGTGTGTCCCACTGAGTGAGACGCACACACACACACACACACACACACACACACAGAAAAATTCTGTTTGGTAGCTGACGCTGACTGAAGAGCTTAACCACCATTGAACTGGATTGCTAATGCTAACATGTGCAAACGGCTCTAAACACTAGTAAGGCCATCACGGTGCACTTGTCTGGTACATGATAAACGTTAACACAAATTAATATTCAACTATGTATAAATCTCTCATCATTAAAGCTCTTCTTGAGGGGGGGTTGCGCTATGATATCACCGCGATGGCAAGGGAACTCCGCCCCGCTCCAAGTAGGGAGAGCGGGAGAGAGAAACACACACAGGCGTCCAAACCTCCAGCCAGGTGGTCGCTAAACAAAACTGCTACAACACCACAGAACAACGTCGGCATTACTTAATCCTATGGCCAGTGTTCGTAACAGCTACCGTATGAATACATATAGCCACAATGGCAAGCAGTTAAAAGATGCTTTGAAAGTTTAAAAGTTGTGTTGAAGAGCAGGCTTCCAGCACTCTCCTAGTGGGGGAGGGGCTACGCATGGTCTGCACCTGCACTGCAGCGTCTCCAGCAACACGGAGCTGCCTGTGGACGCCTGTCTGTAAATAATGCTGGATCGGCGAACGCAGCAGCCCGTATCGGCCGATGCCGATACACGTAGAAACCGCAAAAATCTGCCGATAATATCGGCCGGCCGATGTATTGGTCGATCACTAAATGTGAGTAACCAATTTTTCCATTTCTATTACTACTTTAACCTCCCCTCAGGGTACATTTTATTTTTAGTGACATTGAAACAAGAATATTACAAAGGTGTCGGCTACTGTACTGACTGAATACATATGGAACAATTAAATAGGCTAGAGACTGAAGCTTCGTGAACGAAGGTTCCACAGATTATTATTTTGTTTCAAGTGAATCAAAAGATATAATAGTTATTATTAATAATAACTATTATCAATCACAGCACACAGCTCGGATTGTGATTGTGCATCATTGTTTCATGTTATGAATATATCCAAGATGAGTCATCTAAGGTGGCGCCACATGCGGTCGCCTCTGTTTGTTGGTGCGCTTTGTTTTTCTTGTTTTGTTTGTTAACTCAGTTTTTTTGCTGTGATACCCGGAGCTCTTTCACTAGAGAAGAGCTCATGAATATCAGGGGAACAACTCAAGCTGATCTGTGAAACTTCACCATCAGTTCTCAGCCAACGACTCTGGTTCTGTCTGGAAGAGGCTCAGACAGATAACCAACTACAAAATCACTTTTGTCCAACTCTGACAGCCGTACTGCCTCCACACTCACACAGTGACGCACAGCATCAGGAGCAGTTCACACTTCATCTATGTGAAGAATGATAATATGAAATTTGATTGTAGCTTACAGTCAAATGCTCAGTTTGATGATGAAATGTATTTGTTGTTTATTTCTGACTTTTAGAGCTCGGTGGTTCTCACAGGACAAACATATGATGATCTTATAGAATCTGACACGTTGCTGTAGATTAAATAAAGTAGTTCAACATCTACATCCACATGAATGCAGCAGTAATATTGATCCATCAGATATAATAGTCCAACCTGTTCCTGCACTATCACTACTTTTCCTTTGAGTCCATTGTGCTGATCATCCTGTTACTGCAGTAAAGGCTGTGAATACTACTTCCAGCTCAGAGTGTGAACAGTGAGAGAAGAAGCAGTACAGTGAACCAACCTGCTCTGTGTAACCGAAGTTGAGGGTTGAAAACAGCGTCCAGTAGTTTCCGTTGTCGCTCGTTCTCCTCTTTTGAACGACAAAGTTCCTCCTCGTACTCTGCTATCGTTCTTTCAAACAGCCCAAATATCTCTTCAGCAGCCGCAGTTAGTCGCTGCTTCACCAACGCTCTCAGCATTTGGACTTTACACATTTTCACACAATCACACAAACTCCGTCAAAAACACTGTTTCCACTATGTAAAATTGGCTTCAAAGACCGGTGTACTTTGTTGGCTCGTTACTGTGGATGTCACACACACTTTCTCAGCACGACAACACTGTGCTTCTTCTTCGTGGTGTTTAATGGCGGCTGGCAAACAACGTTATGGAGCATTAGCGCCACCAACTGTTATGGAGTGTGTATCGGGAATCTGACTATACATTCACTAATACTACTAATAAATAACAGAAGATGAGGACAAATAAAGTTATATTATTTCTATTAAGTTGAGATATTGAAGCGAATAGAGATAAAACACTTCTCCCCAGAACTTCTTTGTAAAAGATCTCATAAGTCAAAGCTCAGCTTTATTTCTTTCAGCTTCAGTATCAGTTCCCTTCCCTCAGCAACACATTTTGGACAGTAAACCAGAACGTGTTGTAAAATTTCTTCTTGATCACAAATTCACTCCTTCCTGTATTATGTGTTCCTATTTTAAATAATGTTTAATCCTGTATGACCTAATAGTAACCTTGATATTATTATTGTAATAAATGTATATTTGTGCCTAAGCCGCCCAATAGGCTACCAGAAACCGTGTGGGGAAATTGTAACAAAATTGGAAAACAATCTTCATTTCATTATTGTGATCAGGGTTTCTGGAGTCCAAGTGGACAGGAGAGCACAATACGATACACAAAAAATACACTGCAATACAACAGCAGCGTGCTGGAGGTGGCAGCCAAACAGGAAAGCGGTGGCAGCTTGCGCTCCTATAGCACCAGCAGTGGCTAAATGCAGGAGGCAGCAGACTCTTTGAAATGAAGTTAAAACACCTCTGAGGCTGTTATTATTTATCATATTTTGGTGAATCTGTAGATACAGGGAAGAGATCAATGCTGTACATACATAGCAGACGTCAGGGCTTTAGATACAGGGCATAGGTGTGTGCTGTAGATGCAGCTCTACACCACCATGTGGTCGTTATTAATTTTTTATGAATTGTTAGGAGTAGAAGAAACATTTTTATACAGTGGGTTCCTTGGTCAATACTAATTTTACTGATATAGGCCGAGCCCATTCACGCCTTTTTAGGCACATATTTTATCCAATCTTCACCAAACTTGTAGCTTTGTGTTTTACTTATTGCATGTTGTACATAAACTCACATTGCCCGTGTGTGTAACATTCATAAAATTCTACCTACAATAGTTCCACCTTTTGGCCATTAATATAACCTCACCATATCTCTTGAACACAGTATTCAATTACCACAGGTTTTGGGTTTTATTTTTAGACGTGAATCACAAACACTTTGTGCTGGGACTCTTTCAGAAACTGGGCCGGTGAACAGCTGTAACAGTGGCAACAGCAGATGCAGCAATAGCAAACATTTTCTTCAGGAAATGCAAATACTGTGTGTTGATGTTGATGTTCTGCCCTCTAGTGTCAGAAACCAGCAACTACAGTCTGTGTTGATTTACTGTGAGGAACGATCAGATTAACATTTACAGACTGCCACAGTTTCAGTTCCTTATATAACTCTCAGTGTTATAAACGTATACAAACATCTATGATAGATCAGATTTTATGTAGGAACGCAGAATGTTTAATGCCGTTTGAAGCAACAATATAGAAACAAAACAAAGGTCCTTTTATGAAAATAAAGTTTATTGATGGCAACCTGAAACTTTAAGATACATGGACCCATAAACTGACATTAATGATTATGTTTTATAATGTTTCCTGTTAGTCACAATGTAGATTCAACACATTCAAACACCACACAGGGTGATCGATAAAACAAAGACAAAATAAAGTACAATAAATACAACGATGATCATTCTACTGATTAAACAGACAAAGAATTAAAAATATTCACCAAAAACAAAAAAAGAACTTCTGCACATTGTGGTAATTAAAACTATTTAAAGGGTCATCAAACTTTGGAGGAGCAATCAATTAATTCTGGCTATCAAAATGATCAAAGAAAATTAAAAATAACAGTAATCAATATCCTTATACGTATTATATCAGAAGGTCCTCAGGACACCACCCTTAAAAGGAAAACTATTAACTGAATGATACTCAGTCTCATAGAATATACAAAACAATTAATCTGAAGCACTAATTTATTTATTCAAAAACTATAACTAAGTTCATCATGTTCACATTAAGTCAGCTGAAGGATTTGTAGCTCAACATAGAGTTTGGTATCCTTCACATTTGTGGAATATTTAATAAACCAGCATGTATATTTGATAGCATTTATTAAAAATATAAAGTATAAACACAATATGATCAAACTACAATGCACTAAACTAAATAAAAAAACAGAGTGTGTGTTGCACATTATGTTGAGCTTGTTCAGCAGACACAAAGCAGAGTTTTAAAGGTCCTCTCTGCTGTGTGTGGTTGTGTTAAAGGCCGAGGTGATCTTATATGAACAGTGGCAAGTTAAAAAGAGTTTGTTGTACAAAGACTGTTTCTGTGTGGAACATAACATTTAACTAAGATCACCATAGCAGTTTAGAACATGAGTAACACAGTAACCTAACATAAACCATAACAACATCACAACAATAAAACTAGATCAATACATTACAGTTACAAAAGTTAAGCAGTCCCGTGCTTAGTCATGAACACAGTTAAACTGTGCACAGCTATTTATGCCCACTATGTTCAGTGGTGTAGTGGTTCCTGGAGAAATGGGTAAACTCTTGCTAAGTTGTTAGCCAGTGATCCCGTAAGCCAGGCAGGGGAAAGTTGTTTTCCCATTGTCAAATTGTTATCACTCACTCTGATTCAGAATAGTTACAGACCTAGCCGCCAGACACTGTTGTTCTGATGTCATGGTGCATCTCTGATGTCTAGTTTCTAGTCTGTAATAGCTGAACAGGATTCTTAATTTCCTGCTGCTCTCATGTGTCTCTGCATAGTACTTTTAATACAGAAGCTTTAACTGCAGACTGAGCTGGATGTGTGAGTTGTCATGTGCTCCTCGAGAGTACTCTTTTTAACGAAGTTTTGTTGGCATACTGAGCAGCTGAATGGTTTCTTACCTGTATGAGTCTTCATGTGCCTCTGCAGATGACTCTTTTGTCCAAACCTTTTATCGCACACTGAGCAGCTGTACTGTATCCCACCAATATGACTTTGCATGTGCATCTGCAGATGACTCTTTTGACGGAAGCTTTTATGACACACTGAGCAGTTGAAAGGTTTCTCACCAGTGTGAGTTCTCATGTGATCCTGCAGACCATGCTTATATCCAAAGCTTTTATCGCACACTGAGCAGCTGAATGGTTTCTCACCTGTGTGAGTTCTCATGTGTAACTGCAGAGTATGCTTTAGACGGAAGCTTTTATGACACACTGAGCAGCTGAATGGTTTCTCACCTGTGTGAGTTGTCATGTGATGCTTAAGAATACCCTTTAGACTGAAGCTTTTATCACACGCTGAGCAGCTGAATGGTTTCTCACCTGTGTGAGTTCTCAGGTGTCTACGTAAACCTCGTCTCCATGAAAAACATTTCTTACAAACTGAACAGCTGAAAGGCTTTATATTGGGGACATCACCTGACTGAGGTTCCCTGGTGTCTTTAAAATCATTGTCACTATCATCAGTCTCAGATTCAGAAGAGTCTTCAGTCTTACCATCCGTATCAGGTTGTGAATGTTCATCTGAGTTTCTGGCCGGTTCTGGTCCTCCACAGTCCTCTCCATCATCTGTTTCCATCTGTTCAGTTTGTCTTTGAGGAAGCTTTGAGGACTGAGGTTTCTCTTCATCATCATCTTCACTCTTCACAGGGACAGGAGTGAATGTAAACCCTTGAAGCTGCTCTCCCTCCTGACTGGTCCTGACTTCCACCTGTTCCTCTTTAACGTGTGGGGGCTCTGGGTCCCCCTGTTCCAGACTGGGTCTCCACTCCTGCTGCTGCTCAGGGGGAACCTCTTCTTTAATCACCGACAGCTGCTGGACATCTGCAGGACACAGTAAACACAAAGATGGACATTATGGAAAACCACCACTTTCTGTTGAATCAAGACTGGATAACTGTGGGATCATCATCAGGCTGAAGATGTCACTCACTGGAAACACATTGGAACCAAGTTGAAATCTGTTGACAAGGTCTCACGAGGATTATCAGCAGAAGACTTCATGGAAAGTAAGCAATGATTAAAAGGATCAGAGTCTCTTCTGAACAAGGCAGAAGATTCTTTAACCTTTAATGGTGCGGTCCGCTGCCACAGCAAGGGAAAGTTGGAGAACAGTAAAGGGTCAACATGCCGGTCGAAAGGATTCTGCCAGATTTGTTCCCGCTTACCAATGTGGGAGTGGACTACTTCGGCCAAATAAATGGAAACATCACCCAAAGATTCTTCATTGGTTCACTACGCATAAAAAACAATATTTTTCAATTTTCACTATGTTGGAACATTTTAATTGAATGGGTAGTCACAATAATACTAGTTAGTAGATACAGTCAATGGAATTTCAGAGTTATTAATTTACTTTAAAGCCAAGAACCTAAATTAAATCTAAAGTACTATTATTTGTTATTTCAAAGTCCAACATATTTAAATATCTGCAGTCATAATGTCGGGTAAACAGAGATGTCAGTGCAACATCCGCAGTTTTGGAGACTTGAATTTTCAACAAACTGGTCAAAACGCTTTTTTGTCCCAATGATGTTGCAACATGATTCCACAATCAGGTTAATATTGTAGTGATGGAAGTTTCTGTAAGCGTCTATAAGTACCGCGGATGGGTTTACATTAGAGTCAATAGAAATCCTGGTGCGTCCCATAGAGTCGCTGATGGGTACCATATGCGGCTGTATGGGACGTCAAAAGGAAAGAGACAAAGCGTCAGTCTTCGACGAATTGGGAATGAGGTATGCTTGTTTCTGTGAAGCAACAAATTGTAGCACTGTGCCCAAGAAAAGTTTCCCCTCGGGGACAATAAAGTTATTTCTGTTCTATTCTATTATGATTTCTATTAATAGTAATTAGGGATCGACCGATATGGATTTTTTATGGCCGATGCCGATTTTTTTTTCATCAACCTTAGCCGATGACCGATACGGACTGCCGATTTTCTTGAGCCGATATTTGGAGCCGATACTACTTTTGCTCCCTCAATTTACATCATAAAAATTACACAATGATGATAACAAATGTTACGAGTCTCAATTATAAAAAAAAGGAACATTTATTGAAATTAAAAAAGGTGAGTCAGAACAAGAACAAGTAAACAATATTTAATAAATATTAAAAACAGGTGAGGTAGAACAAGTTAAAAAAAGAGTTTACCATTTGGACCCACAAACTTGCTAAGCTATAGTTTCAGGCAAAACACATACAGAGCATGCATTTGGCATTTGTGTTTCCACTTTCAAAGTGTATGGCAATATTTCAGCTAAGTTAAACAGTTAAAAGATGCTTTGAAAGTTTAAAACTTAGAGTTGTGTTGAAGAGCAGGCTTCCAGCACTCTCCTAGTGGGGGGAGGGGCTATGCATGCATAATGCTGGATCGGCGAACGCAGCAGCCCGTATCGGCCGATGCCGATACACGTAAAAACCGCAAAAATCTGCCGATAATATCGGCCGGCCGATGTATTGGTCGATCACTAAATGTGAGTCACCAATTTTTCCATTTCTATTACTACTTTAACCTCCCCTCAGGGTACATTTTATTTTTAGTGACATTGAAACAAGAATATTACAAAGGTGTAGGCGACTGTACTGACTGAATACATATTGAACAATTAAATAGGCTAGAGACTGAAGCTTCGTGAGCGAAGGTTCCACAGATTATTATTTTGTTTCAAGTGAATCAAAAGATAAAATAGTTATTATTAATAATAACTATTATCAATCACAGCACACAGCTCGGATTGTGAATGTGCATCATTGTTTCATGTTATGAATATATCCAAGATGAGTCATCTAAGGTGGCGCCACATGCGGTCGCCTCTGTTTTTCTTGTTTTGTTTGTTAACTCAGTTTTTCAGCTGTGATACCCGGAGCTCTTTCACTAGAGAAGAGCTCATGAATATCAGGGGAACAACTCAAGCTGATCTGTGAAACTTCACCATCAGTTCTCAGCCAACGACTCTGGTTCTGTCTGGAAGAGGCTCAGACAGATAACCAACTACAAACATAACCCCCCAAAAGGAGACAAAAGGAGCAGTCCTGAGACCCCTCACCAGTTCCCCCCCAGCTCAGCAGGAGCCGGGGCCACTTCACAACTCCACATCTCTGTGAATCCCTCCGCCACCACCACAGTGACGACTCTCTGCCTCCAACAGATATTTATATATATAATTATATGTTAAAGTTTAAATAATCATACCTATAAGAAATCACATCTCTCGTATCGACTTGCCTTATCTGGACATAATGCACATTATTATATAACGTCCATATGTGCAATAGATAGTCGAATAGATCAATTATATGTGGGTTTATTGGAAAGCATAATCAATCACTTTTGTCCAACTCTGACAGCCGTACTGCCTCCACACTCACACAGTGACGCACAGCATCAGGAGCAGTTCACACTTCATCTATGTGAAGAATGATAATATGAAATTTGATTGTAGCTTACAGTCAAATGCTCAGTTTGATGATGAAATGTATTTGTTGTTTATTTCTGACTTTTAGAGCTCGGTGGTTCTCACAGGACAAACATATGATGATCTTATAGAATCTGACACGTTGCTGTAGATTAAATAAAGTAGTTCAACATCTACATCCACATGAATGCAGCAGTAATATTGATCCATCAGATATAATAGTCCAACCTGTTCCTGCACTATCACTACTTTTCCTTTGAGTCCATTGTGCTGATCATCCTGTTACTGCAGTAAAGGCTGTGAATACTACTTCCAGCTCAGAGTGTGAACAGTGAGAGAAGAAGCAGTACAGTGAACCAACCTGCTCTGTGTAACCGAAGTTGAGGGTTGAAAACAGCGTCCAGTAGTTTCCGTTGTCGCTCGTTCTCCTCTTTTGAACGACAAAGTTCCTCCTCGTACTCTCTGCTATCGTTCTTTCAAACAGCCCAAATATCTCTTCAGCAGCCGCAGTTAGTCGCTGCTTCACCAACGCTCTCAGCATTTGGACTTTACACATTTTCACACAATCACACAAACTCCGTCAAAAACACTGTTTCCACTATGTAAAATTGGCTTCAAAGACCGGTGTACTTTGTTGGCTCGTTACTGTGGATGTCACACACACTTTCTCAGCACGACAACACTGTGCTTCTTCTTCGTGGTGTTTAATGGCGGCTGGCAAACAACGTTATGCAGCATTAGCGCCACCAACTGTTATGGAGTGTGTATCGGGAATCTGACTATACATTCACTAATACTACTAATAAATAACAGAAGATGAGGACAAATGAAGTTATATTATTTCTATTAAGTTGAGATATTGAAGCGAATAGAGATAAAACACTTCTCCCCAGAACTTCTTTGTAAAAGATCTCATAAGTCAAAGCTCAGCTTTATTTCTTTCAGCTTCAGTATCAGTTCCCTTCCCTCAGCAACACATTTTGGACAGTAAACCAGAACATGTTGTAAAGCTTCTTGATCACAAATTCACTCCTTCCTGTATTATGTGTTCCTATTTTAAATAATGTTTAATCCTGTATGACCTAATAGTAACCTTGATATTATTATTGTAATAAATGTATATTTGTGCCTAAGCCGCCCAATAGGCTACCAGAAACCGTGTGGGGAAATTGTAACAAAATTGGAAAACAATCTTCATTTCATTATTGTGATCAGGGTTTCTGGAGTCCAAGTGGACAGGAGAGCACAATACGATACACAAAAATACACTGTACATACAATTAAAATGTGTATTAAACCTACCCAGGGTCTAGGCAGGAAACGCCAACAGCAGCGTGCTGGAGGTGGCAGCCAAACTGGAAGCGGGGGCAGCTTGCCCTCCTATTGCACCAGCAGTGGCTAAATGCAGGAGGCAGCAGACTCTTTGAAATGAAGTTAAAACACC